CTCTTGAAATATCGTATTCGTTGTGTGACTGATTGAAAAGTTTCATTAGATATTATTATTAGGAAAATTCCGTTAGATATTATTTGAAATCGTTAGTAGCGTGAATGGATATTCACTTCATTGGAGACTGTAGTTTTGGTTCGATATTTGTTCGATAAGAGTGCTGTTCAGTTGCCTGTCAACGTTAAGATTCAAGAAGGTAGACTACCTCATTTAATTGATCTTTCAGTTACCTGTCAACGAAAATGAGCCTTCAGTGTGGACGCAGAAGAAAAATTTACCGGAAGTGACGAAAAGTTTCGAAAATTATATGCGTAAGGTTCGTACGGTTTTGTCAATCCTTGATACGTTATGATTGGTGTTATCCTCAGATTACAGTGTCATTGATATGCAGAGTGTATTCGTGCAATGAGTAATATTGCATAATAAAAGATCACAATTTTCAGCAAGTCCTTGAGGATCTAGCTATTTCGGTATTGCAGTGCTGCGATACACCAATTGATGTGGAGTATGTTTTCGTTTGGTGATTTCAGTAACATTGAATGAATTTTTGTTTTGTTATTTCACTGCTTACTCTTTCGAAAGTTATCGATGAAACCGGAAATTTTTGTTGTAAAAGTAATAAACCAGAGCTTTATATAAATTCTCAAGTTCTGTGTATCAGCACAATTTGAAGTCCACTTGCATTGATTTCCGTCGATGTCTCATTTTGAAGATTTGTTTGTTGAAGATTTGCTGAGAAGTTACCCTCTTCACCGTTCTGTTTCCCGTGTGGTTTCAGTCGAGAATTTCAAGCAGATCGTATCAAAATTCCTGAAGGTCTTTTCGATTTGAATTATTTGAAGGTTAGTGTATTTCACGTTTTACCAGCTTCCACTATTCAATATTTGCATATGGTGAGGTGAATGAAGAGGAGTTTCCTATGACTGATTAATTGTAAGTGAATAATTCGAATGGAAAAATATGCGAAAAGATTACGTTTGATAAAGCTTAATTTGCAAATTGGACTGATGACATTTCAGTTCTTCTTTTGGGATAATTCAAGAATTGCATATTGGTTATTTGATAGAATTTCATTAAATGACATCGATTGAATAATAGTTTATTTTGAAGAACGTCGTTCCGTCAACACTAATGAATGCTTCGCAGATAGCTTACACCAGCTGTGGAATGTGCGATATTGACATTAGACCGGTCTGTTAATTTCATTGCTTACAGTCGAATTGTTCGCGGAGTTATTGTTTCTTTGAAATAGTACGTACTCTGAATTGATACGCAGTTCAGAGAATATAACTTTTTTTGGATATCTTGAATGTACTGTGGCAGTGAAAACATTTGGCTTTCCGTTTGAAGTATATTTCACCAGAATTTTTGTGCTTTCAGACGCTGTACAGTAATTTAATAGTGACCGGTGGTAACTCGCTGATAATGGGCTTCACGGAACGACTGAATTACGATCTGGCCAGGAAATGTCCACCGGTATAATTGACTGATTGATCGTCTTGTTTATTTTGACTTTAATTCGAGTTCGCTTTGGATTTGAACTGATTCGGTTCATCTAATTGATGGATAGACGATTATTTTAAATTTCAGTGTTTGATAAGAGAATGTTATTGGAGTGATATATTTTAGACAATAAAACTTCGCGTCAATTCGGCCCCAACACCAATGGAGCGAAGATTTGGCGCATGGATCGGTGGATCTATTTTGGCATCGCTGGTAATTATTCACATTTCGTTTCTTTGGAATCACCTTTAGCAGTAGTATTCACTTGACTAGTATCAATGAGGTATTGGTCGCATGACACCTGATAACGATCATGATAGAAGCAAAATTTTAGGGTGCCTTCCAACAAATGTGGGTGAGTCGTGCCGAATACGATGATACTGGCCGGACGTTAGTCGACAAAAAGTGCCCATAAATGAAGAATTGGCCCTAAACGAATACCTCATTTTCGTCATCCTATCGCATATTTTGTTCGATGTTATTTTTTCAAACTCGCCTTGTATTTCATTAAGTGATGCGTTATTATTACTGTTCCGTCTGATTATATCAGTATAATACCAAGTGGAAAATGAACTGAATACTGTCTGTTGAATAGTCTTGAACAGAGTGTTGTCTCCTCAGTAATCTGAAGAATCTTGGCTTCTGTCTATTTACTCAAGAAATTTCTGATCTTCGGCAACGTAAATTTTGATTCCATCGTGAGTTTTCCACCTCATTTGATGCTAACTTCATTTTGATAATACTCGGTTAAGAACTGATAATATGATGTTGGTAGCATTCAAAGCCCTAATTAATCTGAATCAAATTGTACTTATTTCTTCGATCTCGTTGCTTATTCATGTTTCTTGCTCCCTATCTATTTGTTATGTTTTTGTTATATTCACTGCTGAATGTTATGAATTATCAGTTGATTTCAGTACGTAATTTTCAATGTATTATTATGACGAAAACATTACAAACATTTGTCTGATCACTTACTAATAAAAACGTTTTTGATTTCGGTTAATTGAATGAATATGAAGCACCTAATGTTAAATCAGAAACACCTCTTAATGAAATTGAAAAATCCGTTCTGTCATCTGATGGCATAGGGGAATTAATGCGATGAATATGCAGCTGAATGGAAAAATTGTACCATCTATAATAGTTCTACCAAAGAACACACGCAGATCAAATGCATAAAGTTTGGTGGTATGATGAAATCGCTCAGCTACCGTTGACATCCTTCA